GGGTGTGGGGACACGGGCACCAGGCGAGGGTTCCGCTTGTTCTTGATGTCCTGGGGACGGGGGACAGGGTCACTGGAGGGGTGGGGACAGCAGGGACACCCCCGGGGCTGTGGGGACACAGGGACACCGTCATTGGGGGCATGGGGACACTGGGGGGGTCAGGGTGGGTCAGGGTGGGGGTCCCCAGGGGTCCAGGGGGCTCAGGGGTGGGTGGGGGTCCCCGGGGGGGTGTTTGGGGTCCCACCTGGGTGGTGCTGTAGGTCCAGCCCTGATGCACCCACACCTTGTGCCCATTCAGGGGGGTCGGGGGGGTCAGGGTGGGGGTCCCCAGGGGTCAGGGGGGTTCAGGGGTGGGTGGGGGTCCCCGGGGGGGTTTTGGGGTCCCACCTGGGTGGTGCTGTAGGTCCAGCCCTGCTGCACCCACACCTTGTGCCCATTCAGGGGGGTCAGGGTGGGTCAGGGTGGGGGTCCCAGGGTTCTGGGGGGTTCAGGGGGACATGGGGGTCCCCAGGGGGTGTTTGGGGTCCCACCTGGGTGGTGCTGTAGGTCCATCCCTGCTGCACCCTGTCCCGGGCCCAGACGTTGTGTCCGTTCTCGGCGAGGCGATCGACCAGCGTCAGCTGCGCCGGCGTCAGGCGCACGTGGGACAGGTCCAGGGGGGCCGGTTTGTACCCGTTGGACATGGTGTACCTGGGGGGGGACACCCGTGGCACCCCCCGAGCCAAACCCAGACGGGGACGGGACATCCTGACCCAAATCGGGACATTCCAACCCAAACTGGGACATCCCAACACAAATCGGGACATCCCGACCCAAATTGGGACATCCCAACCCAAACTGGGACATCCCAACCTAAACTGGGACATCCCGACCCAAACTGGGACATCCCGACCCAAACCAGAACATCTCAACCCAAACTGGGACATCCCAACCCAAACTGGGACATCCCGACCCCACTCGTTGGCCACGGGGGTACCTGGGAATAGAAGGGGTCCCCTTTACAGACCCCAAACTGGGACCTTAAACTGGGACCCCCCTTCAGAGACCCCAAAGTTGGACCCCCCCCAACTGGAACCCCTTTGGAGACCCCAAATTGGGAACCCAAAACTGGGACCCCCTTCCAGAGACCCCAAACTGGGACCCCCCGACCCTCTAAACAAGATCTCCCCTACCTGGACCCCCCAAAACCAGCAAACCCCCCCCCAAAACTGGGACACCCCCCCGACCCCTCCAGCCCCCCCC